ACAAAACTAGCCTAAATCCGTATGTTTTTTTTGTTTTTTTTTTGAACTTTTGCTTTAAATCCGTATGTTTGTTTGAAGTTATCTTATTTATGGAACGTAACAAGGAACATGAAAAAAAGTCGACACGTTGCTTATATGTGTGCACATACGTTTATACTAAAGATGTCCGTATAAGTCGTATTGACAACAAGGCCACCCAACTACCTTTTTTGCTATGGATTTGGTAATGTTGACTTTCTTTTCTTTTTGTTTAATTTATATATACTAAATTCTGTTGTACGTGTTATATACGGTGACGTCATTTTTATTTTAGTTAAGATTCCGATAGAGGACGGAAGCTAAGATAACAAGTTAGGTCACGAGAGCTTCAAGAGAACTCGCAAACAAACTTGGGGTTTAGACGTTATCGAAAAAATCTCGATTACGGCTAGGGTTTGAGAGCTTTGGAAAACTTGAGTTTCCTCTTTTTGGTTTTATTGATTTATCAAAACAAAGACTGAAGAACAAAGACTCGATTAAGACTCTATTTAAACTAAATGAAGACTTGAGAAAACCCTAAAAACAAAAGAGAAAGGCGACAAAGATCTAATGACTTATTGAACACAATAGTAGTGTTCAACACATAAAACCCAAAACAAAAGCCCAAATAAAAGGTTGTAAAACACGAAGATACGCTGCATTAGGTCCCTCCAAATATAAAAGGATTCGTCCACGAATCCAGCTCGTCATTATTGTTGAAAAGTTGAACTAGCAACAGGGAAAAGCAGACATACACCAACTTGAAATACGAGAATGTACTATACTCCACCACCGTAAAACTGAACACAACCTTCTCCCACGGAAGACGTATGGTGACCTTGAAAGATAAATCCAAATGCATGATACTCACAACTCCATGATGTTCCTTATAAGCTCCAACGAATGACGCACAATGAGTAATACTAGACGTCAAAAACATTAGACCACTCATATCTATGTAACCCTTGGAGGTGAAGAGATAAAAGTGATAGAAGTCCATGTTGAGCACAAGATCGTAAGCGGTCCTTGCACTTGTCCAAGCTTCATTAAAACCCCCACATAATACACCACGCCACTCATGAAAAATTCCCCACATAGCTGCTATCGTATGGATTTCTTTGTCCAAAATATGATCCTCACAATGTAAAAGATCAAAGAACTGGTGGTATTGTAAACTCTGCACATCCGGTGTAGTTCCACAAACAACGTCATTAATCGTCCTCGCATAATGCAGAAGTATCCGAGGAGGATAACAAGATGGTTGCACACGTGGACAAAGATGTTCACCAATCTGGCACACCAAAACTAATACGGCAATCCGAGCATAGCGTGTAATGTGAGATATATATGTTCCGTTGTCTCTTACCCACGCAAAAAGAGGTAAATGAGAGAAAAATGGCGGTGGAAAAGAAAGCTGTGTACAACGTGTGATTGCTTCCCACAAGCATGGAAGATTTTGAGAAAAGAAGGAACGAAAGCCAAACCACAACTTGCTTGACTCACAAGAAACATCATTGCCACCAATATCTTGTGAATGTGAGGTTGAAACCCAATCGTGAGCTACACACTATTCGTACGTCTGGCCTAGAAACTCTACACTGTAGAGCCCATAGCGCCCACACTAACTTATATGTCTCCATGTCCATGAAGACGAAGATCACACAAGAGTGAAAAGAAGACGCCACACAACGAGTAAAGGCAACACAACAAAGGAAATTTTGTACTCCCAAAGGCTCCCATCCGCGCAATTCCATTGAAAGACCAACAAGAGAGATCACGTCACTCAAAATGAATTGCCAAACATCACAAAACTTGTATTCTTCCCGTTTCACCAAAAAAAATTCACGACAGAGGAAACTCAAAGCTTGGTGGTAGGGTGAATTTGGTATGTCGACTAGAACTACGATAGACAGAGTTAGCCAATGAATAAGAAAACTTAATCTCCCTTTTGAAAGAAGCGATTTTGTCTTACGCCCGTGATGTATGTGTTGATAGACATCATCGGCTTTCACCATTACCCATGCTATAAGAGAAACACACATGAGTGATGACCGAGGAAAACCAGAAGAGGCAAAGAGTTGTAAGGCGTCCCTCACACGGTGTACACTAAGGTAGGAGTTAGAGTAACAACGAAAGAGCAAGACATCTCTAAAACTCGTGTTCGCAATTTGTGGAGACATAGTAGCATTGACGAATGGCGGTGGTGATATCGGTATGGCACGCACAGAGATTCTTCTATAAGCACAAGGGAAGTTACTAAAGCTTCTCTTGCCACTGTGTGCTATGTTGCCATCATACCACATGACATCAATGTCATCAAACATTCCGTCCTGAACAAGAAGTGTAGCAATATCCCCCTCCACGAAGTCATTAAGTAAATATTGTCGTGAACGTGAACGACGATTAGAAAGTGCGTGGCAAGAAAATGAAATTCGAAGTGTGCCTTCTTTTCCAAAATCCCCATATGTAAACTCCCTCGTTGAAGCATACGCCGTAAATCTTTCATCCTTTTGATTTGTTTGAACTGCAAGTAACCCTTGAGCGTTGTCTTCAGATGCATCACCGCACGGAACGTCATCAAAATAGATGTCAAATACCGGATTTTTATAAAGCTCTGCGTCAAGACATTTTCCACAACAAAACAGAGTAGCTCGTTGAACATGAACTGGAGGCTCGTTTCTTGTCTCTTGAACCCTTCCATGATGAAAACCAATGAATGGAATACTTTCCTTAGTAGTAAAACAAACGATCACATCGGACATATCTCTCATCATTGGACCATCAATGACTAAGTATTTCTTTTGAAAATGGTATCCATCATCGTGAAGATCTCGTAGTGTATTTTCATATTGGACAAGCTCCCGAGTAGAAAAATCATTATTATCACGATACACGTGCTCGCAAGCAAAGTCATGATCTTGATTGAAACAACGATGGAAGTCATCGATGAAGATAAACCAATTTAAAAACTTCACACTTCGTCCACCATCGTGAAATTCTGCGTCATCAGATTTGCATTCCAATTTTCTTTGGAAACTTTCCCTCATCAGATATTGATGAAAAAACAGATATGACGGCTTCTTGCTGAGACACCGATGAAGATCACCATCGTCCCAGTTGCTGGAACATAGCCCAAAATCCACGATGAAGCTGCTCGCTTTGACTGATATGTAGTATTGGTCACACTATGGGGGAGTGTGATGTACCAGTGGATGTATCTGTCCATGATGGCTTGATTGACGGACATGCGATTGATTTGTGTCTGTCCTCACAAAGAACTGATGATGCAACGCTGGTTGACACGTCATTAGCTCCACGATGCGGTGATTAGTTGTGAGAGGCAAGAGAGTACGATCTGGTGACAACAGTGCTTGAAGAGATCCAATATTGTAAACAAAATTTCCCGGCAAGAACGCTTTTACTGGAAAAAACGGATTTTGATCATTATCTCGACACTTATCAGGATCGATCCCATTGTATAAGGTAACAACACGATCGACATAGACCTCTTTGTAGGGGTTGCCCTCCCTATGAAGACGGGAATAAATGCGGCGACCTCGGTCTGGCGGCTCGCTATTGACCTGACGACGACGATGAGTAACACCACCAACACTCCCATGACATCGCACATCCACATACGTATCTTCGTATATCCCGTCAATTGTGTTCATGCATTGAACATGATCCATTGGTGACCGTTCTATGCCATCCATCCAATGAAATTTATTCAGATCTGTGTTTTTAATCTGATATATGTCATAGCGAAGATCTACATCATCCCCGCACTTACAGGTTGGACACATCGGCGATCTTGCATAATGAACTGGCTTCATAGTACATGATTCTTCAATGGAAACATCACAAATTGGCTCATCATCGTAGTTGTCAAAAATTGGTTCTCCATAAATCTCCTCGAAACCGAGAAGGAACACACAATCACTTTTATCACGACTTGATGGCTCATCACGGATCTGTTGATTATGATCTCGTTCGCGCATCAAAGTACTATCGACCACAACATCCAACTCTTCTGCTGAATCTTGAGCCTGCGACCGTTGGTTATTGAATGTTGCTGGCTCCGCTGATTGAGGAATTGAGTTGTAAATAGTCGCTCGGAAGTTCTCTCTCATCACACGCAGCGTGTTCCTAAGATCATCCCAGTCTGTTGCTTGAGCTCTAAGAAGATATGGTTGATGATTTCCATCCTTCTTTGGCATCATCGTTGCAACCCGTGAAGAAGACACCCACAGGAACGTTCTGAATCTGATACCAATTGATAGAGGGCGGAAGCTAAGATAACAAGTTAGGTCACGAGAGCTTCAAGAGAACTCGCAAACGAACTTGGGGTTTAGACGTTATCAAAGAAATCTCGATTACGGTTAGGGTTTGAGAGTCCTTCTCTCAGGGCTTTGCACAAGAAAGCTCTTTGGGAAACTGGAGTTTCCTCTTTTTGGTTTTATTGATTTATCAAAACAAAGACCGGAGAACAAAGACTCGATTAAGACTCTATTTAAACTAAATGAAAATTTGAGAAACCCCTAAAAACAAAAGAGAAAGACGACAAAGACCTAATGACTTATTGAACACAATAGTAGTGTTCAACACATAAAACTCAAAACAAAAGCCCAAATAAAAGGTTGTAAAACATGAAGATGCGCTGCATCAGATTCATGTACAAAGGATTTCTTAAATCAATGAACCCCCAAAACAACTTCACGATGAATCGTTACAGACTTAAGATACATGTAATACGCCACTACATATCAAACATTTTTTTCTTTAAAATACCTGCCTCCAACATAGTAAGTAGCTATTCGTAATTTAAGTACATATATATTACCAAATAGGCAAATAGTAAGAATAACTATGATAATAAATGTAGTGTTTTTGCTTTTAGTTTTTAAATTAAAACTAAAATTTACGTTGTACATACGTTGGGAAAATGTCATTTTTCGTTTGGTTCATTATTTGCTTGTAACCAGCTTCCTAGCGACTACGTACTATGGCCGGTAAGGTACCTTATTTTTTGTCCAATAGTGTTGAAATTAACTATTAGGAAAGTATACCAATAACATATAAAACTCTTGCGACTTTTAAAAAAAAAGAAATATATCGGCAACTTTGTTGTTGACTAAAATCTCATCGCCAACTATAAATACAAACCCATCATCATGCAAACTCCAACATTTCCAAGGAAATAAAAGAAACAAACCTAAACCAACTAGCTTACGTGAAATAAAAGAAACAAACCTAAACCAACTAGCTTACGTAACCAACAAGATATGACAGAAGAATTCGAAACCGCGGGAGTATGTACCGGAACATGGTGGAGCTCTTCTAACTGCATGTTCTCGTGGGGATCTCTGCCATGTTCCACTGAGATAGCCATCGATATCGGCGACTTTGAATGGAAAAACATTGATACCCTCGATGCCAAAACCTATAACGAGAGCCATCATAATACTTGCACATTCTTGAGTAACACAAATCCTGATTCCAACTCACAAGTCTATGTTTCGACCCAATCTAACATGTAAGTCCATGTATATCTAACATGATGCAAAATCATAATCTTGATTCTTGACCTTCTTTTTCTTTCTTTCTTCTAGTCATGAAGAAGAAAGTCTCAATCTAGAACTGCTCGATAGCTTTCACTTCTTGGATGACTTTTTACTGAACGAATCGAGAAATGTATCAGTCTTTGATCACGAGATTTCACACAAAGCTGAGGAAGAAATACTTGCAAGGTACGTAAACGGTAAACCTATTTAATTAGTTTCTTTCATTATAGAAATTTTGTCATCTTTCTTTAAATTTTGATGTTGTTATTATTTTCAGAGAGCTAATGAGAAAACTGGAGAACTAAAAGATATTGACTCATCTCGGCAATTAAAAAGACAAAGACTTGAGACACCATCTCAGTTTCCGAGCTTCAAAGTTAGTAACAATTAATATCTTACTATACTTTTCCAGAAATTCTCTCTTAAGAAATTAGTTATGAAAAATAGCGCATAGCATAGCACAAGTAACAAATTTATATAAAAATTTATATTTAATTATAGTTTCAGATTGTCTATTATATAAATAGTATATATATTAGTAATTATCTTACGAAGAACTATTTTGATTGTTAAGGTTCGTAAAGAGAAACTTGGAGATCGCATCACCGCACTTCAGCAGTTAGTTTCACCCTTTGGCAAGGTCTGTGTTCTTCATAATATCTGTTATACAAATGTCTCGATTAATTAGCCATAATTAACCAATTATTTATTATTACTTCCGTTATCCATTTTTTAATATTATTTTCTGATGATTTCTGCAGACAGACACTGCTTCTGTCCTTCATGATGCTATAGAATACATCAAGTTTCTTCAAGAGCAAATCACTGTAAGTTCAGATTCTCACATGAAAAAAAATGTTGGTTTAAATTTACTGTTATATAAATTAACTGTTGTTTTATAATCATTTAATTCTAAATAGGTCTCGAGTAATCCACACCTGTACTCTATAATAAAGGATCTGGTGAACAGGAGCAGGTACTTAAGTTAGTTAATTACCGGTTAAAGAACTTTGGATATAATCTAAAATCAATGAAGTAGTTCGATTTTTGTTCTTTAGTTTATATGATCATAAAATTCTTTCAACTCTAGTGTTCAGACGAATCAAACAATAATACTAATGATGAAGATTATAATCCAAGACAAGACCTTCGAAGCCGCGGTCTTTGTCTGATGCCGATTTCAAGTACTTTCTCCACCTCTCCGCCGCATTTGAAGACATATAGTTTCTGGAATTAAACAGTTATAATGAAAACAAAAACTTGACACTAGTACAAAGTACACTACACATGAACACATGTAACTTTTTTCGATATGGTGAACACATGTAACTTTTGTTGTAAGAGCTGTAAAGTCTGATGGTAATTTGTTTACAGTATGTGCTATCTCGTTCGCTTCCTACAATTTTAGTGGTACCACCGTGAAATTGTGGAAAGATATAATTTATTTTACGACTTTGTAGATTTTTTTATCAACCATACTAGCTATTTTATGTCTATGCTCAATTATTCTGTCGTTTTAACGACAAAACCAAAAGTGCGTGTGATTAGTATGTTTTTTTGTTCACAATTATTTAATTTCCACACTCTGTAGGCAAGGCGGCATTAATTACTAATCAGAAGAATCAAAAGTTATAGAATTTTATGGATTTTCAAAAAAAAAATAGGGAGACAAATTAGATGGTGTTTTTATCCCTTTTATCAACTGCTAATATATATCTCGATGGAGACTTTTTAATAAAAAAGTTATCACTTTAATAAAGCAGCTCCTTTTCGTGGTCCTGAAAGGACACGGCTCTGTTTTGTTTTTGTTTGTGTGTCCTCAAATCAAGGCATATGATTGAATAAGTAACATAAAGGAATCATGTTTAAGCACTGTCTTCGAAGAAAAAAGCACGAGTCAACAGAAAAAACATAACCAAACTTTTTTTTTGAGTGAAATGAAATCATTGTCTTGGGGCGAATTCAAACTGCTTTTTTAATTATTTCAACAGAAGACGGATATGCTTTTGTTACAAGCACGCCACAGCTGAAATAAAAAATAACCCTAATTCGAGTAGACACGGAATCATAAAGCACAGTGACTGGCTTGTCCCAGTGACCGTTACAGTACAAAGACAGGTTTGTCTTACTGGAATCATCAAAGTTCTTAGTAGCATAAAGACAAAAAAAAATGATGGGAGAATTCAATTCCTTGAATCCATGAATGCTTTACACAAACCAAACATATCAATCAAATTCTTAGAATGATTGATTAGAAGAAACAATTATTCTCACTTCTCACTGTTTATGCATATACCAACACAGTGATTCAACTGGCAAACAGTATATGTATAAATTCAAATGAATCTAAAAGCAACCAAAGTGCTATTACTATTGCTTTTCATTTGAAATTATGGAATAAAGTTAGGCATGACGATTTGAGATGATTCCGTCTATGAGAAATTACACGTACCTGAACTTCGACTATTTAAAGGCACTCTGTACTTTGTTTCCGAATCCATGTAAGAATGCTTACAATTACAACAAATGGTTAGATTCAACAGAGAAGGGATCAAATGCTATTAAAATGAAACGCTCAAATGATCAAAACATCTAAAATATATTACAAATTTCAGAAGACTCATCTGTATGATCTTTTTATTTGTTTAATGTACAGAAAACAAAAACAGAAAAAGCATTTGCATTTTGGTGTGCTGAAAGCCTAAGACTTTTGTTTTGTTCTTCCTTTCATTTGTACAACAACTACACGAGGAGAAAACAACACAGCAAAAGAACAAACTTACCTCCATTTTCAGACCAGATAAGCAAAACCAGACAACTATAATCCCAAAACCGCCACCGAAGACAAAAACCGATCCTTTTAACTTCCCATTTTTCACACTCCCAAAATCAAGAATTCATTGGACTCCAAGTAAAGTATGTACTAAGTTAGTAGCATTCCTCCTGATTTTCTCACTCTCACTATCCTCCAAACCAAAGCATATCTCTATGACTCCTTCTCTCTTAACCTCATCTACGATTTCTCGGTTACAACAACACAAGCAGTTGAGGATAAACAGAGAATACTGAATCCCTTTCAAACTCCCATTCCTCAAAACGTTAACCAAAACTTCAACAAAGCCACTTACTTTGCTCATTTCTTCTCTTCCTCCTCTACTCTTAACCAAAAGCCCCAACACTTCCACTGCTCTCTCTAGCCCTGAATCAGCTGCTTCAACCAAAATAGGCACCGACCCACAATCCACAACCCGTTTTCGATTATCCGGAAACGAGCAAAGAGCGTAAAGAGCCGTCGCTGATTCCTTTCTTTCCCGGTCATTTCCATACCGGAGAAGAGAAACAAGAGCAGAGATTGCATCAGGATAAGAGCCAATTGTGGCTTTGTTCACTTCTACAACAGCTAAACTCGTTAGCAGAGTAGCAGCAATAGCTTTGCAATCGGGTGACCCGACTCGTAATACAGCAACAATCCGTCTTATCACTCCATCGGCGACGAAACCCACTTTGTTATCATCTTCTAAACTGAGATTCAGAAGCAAAGAGAGAGACTTTTCCTGTAAAACTCGATTACCCGAGTCAACACAGTCCAGAGCCGCACGAACCGCGCCTGACTCAGTGATTTTCTTCCGGATAGACGAGTCTCGCTTCGTGAGTCGGACGAGGCGGGTCAGTGACTCGAGCCTTGATTCGTAAGAAGACGATCGGGAAACGAAAGTGGAGATTAAGGCTTGAGATTGAGATTGGGACTGAGTGTGTTCTTGCTGAGAACGAGGACGTGATTCCTTAGGGCTCACATGGGCAAAGTTTGAAATTAAGCTCCGTAGGGCGTGGTTGGGAATCAGAGAAGAGTTTTCCGACAACGGGAGCTTGGAGATTGGGCAAGTCCGATTGCCGGAATCAATCCACCGTTGGATAGAGACCCGGTCGAAAGTATGACCCGATTGGATGATAACCGGGTCGGACATGATCTCAAGGGAAATCGGGCACCTGAAATCGTTTGGCAACTCAAACGCCATTTCCAATTTGAGTCAAGAGATAAAATTGAGTCAAGGAGAGAGAGAAAAGGGTTAATAAGATTCCTACGGAGGAAGAGCAGAGAACCCAAAAATAAAAGACGCTTACTTTTCTCCTTCTTCGAAACTAAAACCCACAGAGAGAGAAAGAGAGGCTCGGGGACCGTGAAGCTTTTGCAGCAATGGCTTTTGTTTGAGATGACGAAGTTGCCCCTCTGTTTCGTGGACGTCCGGGCGAGGGTATTTTGGGTACAGAGGATATCTATATTACTACTACATTGGTAACACTGCAAAATAGCATATTTACGTTTGAAACATGATCGCGCAAGTATTTTACATTCACAAAAACTTCCAAAAACGCAAAAACGCAAAAAACGCAAGATTTAGACTTACAAAAAAATAGAAAACTTTTCGTTAAGTAAAAAATGTGTTTTCATTAAATTATTTATGGAATTAATATTTATATTATTTAATTATATAAAAAGATTTATAAAATGATAAGATTATATCTATGGTTTGAATTTTACAATAGTTTAAACATTTTATATTTTTTTGTATTGAAAAAAAAATAAAAAAAATAATTATAATAAAAGTAAAATTTTTAATTATAATAAAACTGTGTTCTTTTCTTATAATAATGAATACTAGGTGTTTTTCCGTACAAGGTGCGGAGTTCGATTAATTTTTTTATAATTAACAATGTTAATTTATTTATAGATAAAAAAATCAAATTTTATAATTATTCGAAATCAAAATTAATATATTTGAAAAATATAATTTCCATGAATATATTTTTTTATGATAAAGCAAAATATTATATATATCTTATTTTTAATATCTTTTATATTATCCGATAAAAATTTATATGTATGCTTTGTTGTTTTGTTGCATCAAACAAAACTCTCAATAAAACCGTAACTTCGAATCTAGAAATCTACGACTGTTTTATTGAAAAAAAATTAGAAATCTAAAAATAAAATTGTAAAGAGAGACATACGGCCGTCGATTGATCTAGATTGTTTTGAAAACTTTGTTTTAATACATACAGAGTTTCAAAAAAGTTTAAAGGATTTAGAGTTTTACTTATGGCCATATAAATCAATTAGGTTACTCAAAAATATCAGTATGTTAAATAATCAAATTAAAATTAGTTTAAAAAAGTAATAGGATCGATTTTTTGTGATTTATGCTAGTTATCATTTTTTAGTAAACTAAATATTTTTATGATATAAACTCAAATTTGAAAATCTAGATTAAAAAAAAACGAAAATTACTTAAAAAATTAGATTATATTAATTTGTTAATTTTATTAAGGGTAAATAAAATCTTTTCATATAAGAGACAAAGAGTAATCAACCATCATAACTCTCAATCACAACCCAACTTGCTTCTCAATTAATAATATGATTTTAATTTTATAATATCAAATAATATAAAATATAGTATAATGAAAAATTAATTTTAAATATTAATTTTTCGTTATTCTATCATTCTATATAATTTGTCTAATTGCAACACAAAAATATAATCTATAATTTCTAATTAAGTCATTTCACAAATGAACTCTTTTACTATTTTATAATTTTATTGTGTAATTGGAACATATGTCTTTTTCACTAGATATTTCAAAAATGTCTTTCTTTTTAGGCACATCACATTATTCACGTTTCTTTAATAAAAGCAGACATTTTTTTAATTTTTCATATTTTTTTTGTCATTTGAATTAATATTATACAAACTGAGAGGGATACATGATGAAATACAAAATGAAATACAGGGAAAAATACAGCAAAGGAACCACTCCTTAAAACCCTAGAAAGATACAGTTACAGAAAACTAAACTAATACATCACAAATCTAAATTAAAAAGCAAAGACTAATGCAGAAATTAGCAAAACTAAAATACAGAGAAAGACTTCAAACCAAAATTAATGACCAACCCAAACCTGCAAATCTTCTGAAACTCTTGTGAAGTTAAGTCTGAGATTAAATCTACTTCCTCCCGAAAAGATGAGAGCCCACCTCTCCATCACACAAAAACCAAAGCTTCAAAACTCAGCAAGACAAGATCTATAGATCCGCATAAACCTTCTGAGTACGGTTAGATCGGCCACAACAGGACACAACCAAAGGAACGCCTAGATAGAAGCCGCAAAGAACAGGGAGTGAAGCCTAACCCTCCACCCAACCGAACGGCTGACAAGCAAAAAGGCAAGTACCACCAACGAACGCCAAAGAGAATAGGGAAGAAACTACAAGCTTAAAGATCAAACACTAACAAAAGAAACAGGAAGACGATCTCTACCTTTAGCAGAGCCAAAAACATCAGATCTAGATCTACTTTTTGAAAACCAAAAAATCCAGCCATAAAACAAAAAACTAGAAAACAAGACAAGAAACAGGTTGACAGACTTTGTAACTTCTACCA